AAAACTGTTGGGCCAGTTTAGGATCAAGCAATGTACATGTGCGGTAAACAAAGAGGATGATCTTGAAGGCTAGAGAGAAGATTTGCTACCAAGGCAATTGTCAAATAAATGAAAGAACATTATAGCCTCAGAATAAAGTGAAATTATCCCTGTTGAAGAGCAACGTGGTTCTAATAACAGGCTTCACCTATTCATTGCCCCAACCCATTTTCTGTGTCTGCACAATACCCCGAAATGTAAGCCAGTCAACATTCACTCTAATCAAGCTTAAGCATGTGGGGAAACACAGTGGATGAGTTTGGAAATGATGTAGGCAAGGATTTTCCTGAAGTCTACCTCGCTCCAAATCTGACTGCATAGAACAGCGGTGGGGAACTATGGCCTTTTATGACTGGTGGACTTCAACTCCCAGAATTCCTGAGCCAGCCATGCTGAGGGGAAAGGGAGAGGTTTCCATGCGGAGCCATCATGGCTCAGGAATTCTGGGAGTTGAAGTCCGCAAGTTATGAGGGGGCCATAGTCTCCCCACTTCTGGCATAGCACAACAGAGCTATTCTTGAGAAGGATACAGATATGGCCCTTTTATGACTTGTGGACCTCAACTCCCAGAATTCCCGAGCCAGTTATGGTTATTTAAACTAAAGCACAACAAAATTGACTTCCTTTTTTTTCTCTTTTCCTTCTTTTTTGCCTTTCCTCTTTTTAATCTCTTTTTTCTCTTTTCTTACTCTGTATTAATTTCCCTTAATCTTTTCCCTTCTTTCTTAAAACTGATAATAAAACTGTAATAAAGCAAAACAAAATTATCCCTGTTGAAAAGCAATGTGGTTCCAATAATAAACTTCACCTGTTCATTGCCTCAGCCCATTTTCTAGGCCTCCACAATACCCCGACATGTAAGGCAGTCAATATTCAAACTAACTAAGTTTAGCATGCTGGGGAAATGCAGTGGGCGAGTTTGAAAATGACGTAGACAAAGATGTTCCTGAAAGCTGCCTCACTCCAAATCTGACTGCATAGAACAGGGGTGGGGAACTATGGTCCTTTTATGACTTGTGGACTTCAACTCCTAGAATTCCCCAGCCAGCCATGATGGCTCAGGAATTCTGGGAGTTGAAGTCCACAAGTCATAAAGTGGCCATAATCTCCCCACTTCTGGCATAGCACAACAGAGCTACTCTTGAAAAGGATACTGAAGCTTGTCCAGAGCACTCTGATCAATGGTCCCCAGACTGTTGTAGACCAGGGTGCTGCTCAACAACACGGCCAAAGCAAAGATCCAGGCATCGTTTTGAGAGCTGCCCTAGAGAGGGACAAGAATAGGTTATGATCTGTTTCTGACTTCTGCTGAGTTTATCTATGGCAGTTAGAAGGTAACTTCTAATAAGCATAAGATACCATTCGTTCACCACTCCAGAATTTATTCACTGAGTCATTCATCTATTCAGTCCCAGAGGGTGCTGGGAGTTGTAGTTTAGGAAAATTTGAGGCTACGCATTGTAGGAGTTTCAAATAACAGGTGGGAAGGGATACGTAAAAGCAAAGTAAACGGCTTTCCCCATTTACTTAGCTGGCTAGGAAAGTTGTAAATGACTCGGGGATCCTACAACTATGGTAAATACATGCCAGTTGCCCAGGACCTAAATTAGGATCACGTGACCGTGGTGATGTTGTGATGGTCATAAGTGTAAGGATCAGATATAAGACACTTTTTTCAGTGCTATTGTATCAAGGCGTCTGACTCTTGAGCCATGAAGGGAAAATGTACGGTAAGATAATAGAAACAAGATCAAGACCAGTTATAGAACAACAACCAGCAGAAGAGGAGATACATTTTAGAAGAAATAGAAGCTGCACAGATGCAATTTTTGTGCTTAAACAACCAATAGAAAAAGAATATGGAATACAATAAAAATCCCTTTCTCGCATTTGTAGACCAAGAGAAAGCATTTGGTAAGAGTTGATAGAAAATTGTTATGGCAAACATTGACTCAATATGGAGTAAGTAAACATAGGTATTTAGGTTTTCCTGCTTGAGCAGGGGGCTGGACTAGAAGACCTCCAAGGTCCCTTCCAGCTCTATTCTATTTCTATTCTTATTCTTATTCTATTCTATTCTATTCTATTCTATTCTATTCTATTCTATTCTATTCTATTCTATTCTATTCTATTCTATTCTATTCTATTCTATTCTTATTCTATTTCTATTCCATTCCATTATTCTATTCTATTCTATTCTATTCTATTCTATTCTATTCTATTCTATTCTATTCTATTCTAGTCTAGTCTAGTCTATTCCATTCCATTCCATTCCATTCCATTAATTCCTCTGTTCTATTCCATTCCATTCCATTAATTCTTCTATTCTATTCTATTCTATTCTATTCTATTCTATTCTATTCTATTCTATTCTATTCTATTCTATTCTATTCTATTCTAAAAACATCTTATTAGAGTATGCAGAAGCTTATACAGTGACTGCGGAAGTCCAATCAGAACAAACCAAGGAACATCTGAACCCTTCATAGTAACATCTGGAGTAAAACTATCCCCACTATTGTTTATCACCTACATTGACAGGATAAGCACAGCCAAACCCAAGAATGGAAATAATATGAACAAACGTCTCTTTGCAGATGATCAGGCATTGATAGCAAGTCCAGTTGAGAAACTGCAAAATCATCTTATGGACAGGAATGCCAGACAAATAGTACAAAAATCAGCAAAGAGAAAAACAGAAGTGATTGAATTCTTTTATACAAAGAAATATAAAAATATAAAAATCACCTTTTCCACATCCCCTATTCCCTCAGTATCCAGAAGGACAAGGGTTTGATTAGGCCTATCTGGATAGGGAACGCACCACATCCAGATTCCTTTCGTTTTTGCTTGCACTGTGGAGCCTAAACAGAAGCCTACAAATGGAAAAATGGGATAAGGTTTAGATCTAAAACGGTCAAGCTGTAATATGTGAGCTACAGTTAATAAGACACAGGTTGTTCACCTGTCTTTACACCTTGAAGCAGGAAGTTATGCAAGGGCGTAGTTTCCCATGTGAAAATGGTCATCAAAAAATATTTCATTTTGCAATATAAGAAAAAGCACAAGAACCCTCAAAAGATAAAGGGCCTACATTTCTGAGAAGCTAAAAAAAAACACCAGAAGAAGAGTTATAAACATGTATTGATTAAAATAGCAATCTAGACATTCTGTAATGGAAGGTGAGAAAGACCTTGGGAGAAGGGCAAAGAGATCAGATAAGAGACAGCACAACCTTCTGATGGACAGTGGGAGGGGCAAGAGGCTCAGAAGAGACCCCCCCCCCCTAGATTCTCTGGCAGTTAAAGGAGATGAGTGGAGAACTCAACTTTCAGATTCTGTCAAGGTAGCTTTACAATAAAGAAAATTGGCTCCTTTGATCAAGTTTCCTGTCTGATTTGTTCCATGAGGCCAACATCACCTAATAACAACAGAGTAGCAGAGCAGGACGGGACTTTGGAGGTCTTCTAGTCCAGCCTCCTGCACAAGCAGGAGACTCTGTGCCATTCCAGACAAGTGGCTATCCAGTCTCTTCTTAAAAGCCTCCAGTGATGGAGCACCCACAACTTCTGGAGGCAAGCTGTCCCACTGGTTAATTGTCCCCCTCACCATTAGGCAATTTCTCCTTAGTTCTAGGTTGCTTCTCTCCTTGATTAGTTCCCACCCATCGCTTCTTGTCCTGCCTTCTGGTGTTTTCTTATTTACTCTCAAACTTACTGTTGCTGTTGCTGGAATTGGGTATGTCTAGTTTAACGAAAAGAAGGACGAGGGGGGACATGATAGCAGTGTTCCAATATCTCAGGGGCTGCTACAAAGAAGAGGGAGTCAAGCTATTCTCCAAGGCGCCTGAAGGCAGGACAAGAAGCAACGGATGGAAACTGATCAAGAAGAGAAGCAACTTAGAACTAAGGAGAAACTTCCTGACAGTTAGAACAATTAACCAATGGAACAACCTGCCTCCAGAAGCGGTGAATGCTCCAACACTGGAAGTTTTTAAGAAGAGACTGGACAGCCATTTTTCTGAAATGGTGTAGGGTTCCTGCCTGAGCAGGGGGTTGGACTCGATGACCTCCAAGGTCCCTTCCACCACCATCATCATCATCATCATTATCATCATCATCATCATCATCATCATCATCATCATCATCATCATTATTATTATTATCATCATAAAAGGGATGATAAACGTCTGCAAGATCACATCATTTCTAAGGGTCCCTTGTCACGGGATCACTCACAAAGGGTATTTTGGAAAATGAAAGCACAACCTTTTCCATCGGAGCAGAAAACCCCAGATTTGGGGTGTGTGTGCTCATTTTCCCACCCAGATTTTGCCCTGGTCCATACTGTCCTGGTTCATCTCAGATCTTCTCACCTGAATTTTTGCCAGCCAGCTTGTTCATCAGGTAGGACTTGCCCGTGCGGTAGAGTCCCACAATGGACACCACCACCACCGGATTCCGGATGTCCGAGAGCAACTGGAGACCCTCCGAAGAGACACGGAGGCGATTTTTCTTGTTCTCAACCAGGCACACCGGAGCCTCCATCCTGGCTTTGGGGGGGAGATGCAGCTGGGGAGAGGATGGGGCAGCTGTAGCACTTTCTTCACAGTGACCTCCCAAAGGAGGAGCATCAAAGACCCTTCCCCAAGTTCGTGACTTCCGAGTGACATCAAGTGGCCCATCCCAGGCCAGTGAGCGGATGGGCTTTGTAATCCCCAACAGATCCCTTCTCAAGCCATCTTCCCCCCCTCCAGATCTCCAGAAGCCACTCAGCTGAAGGGCAGAGGGTCTTCAGGGCCAAGGCAGACCCCGGTGGCAGACCCGGTCCAAAAGGGAGTGAGGGGTCCCCAAGTCCCCTTCCCCGCAGCTACCTCGGGACCCTGCCCTGCCTCCGACCCTCGCCCTAACTTGTCCCATGGGGAGAAACCCCTCTGGCCCCCAACCCCCCCCAGCTCAAACGGGACCCCCTTCCTTGCAGCTTCCCCAGAAGCATTTCTCACCCGGGAGACCCCCATCCCCCCCTCACCTATTCGGAGAAACCCCTCTGGGCAGACCCCAGTGGCAGACCAGGACTGATGGCAGTGAGGGGCCAAACGGGACCCCCTTCCTTGCAGCTTCCCCAGAAGCATTTCTCACCCGGGAGACCCTCACCCCACCCCACCACACCTGTCCGGAGAAACCCCTCTGCCCCCCCCAAGGGACCCTCCCGCCAGCCCTTCACTCCCCCCACCCCAATTTTCAGGGGGGCGTCTCTGTTTCCAGGGACCCCCTCCTCCGAACTGCTGGGTTAGAGCCCGCAAGGGGGTCCCGTCCAACCTCAAGTCCAGAAAAACCTCTGCAGCTGCGGCGAAGGACCGGAGCCCGGAGGGGAAGGTGGGGATAAGCGTCTCCCCTTTTTCCCGGATCCCCCTTTTACCGTCTTTTGCAAAGGAGATCAGCCGGGGATCCTCCGGCTCTCTTCGCGGCCCTCCCGCGACCTTGCTCCTCCCGCGCTGGCCTCGGAGCTCTTATCAAGAAGCGGCGGCAGGAATCAAAGAGGGCCAGCCTCTTGGGCAGGCGGGACAAATCCTGGAAACCTTTCCGACTGCCAACTTCAGGGAATAAAATCTGGCTGGGGAGGGGAGGGGTGCAGAGAGAAGAGGGAGGATTGGCTGAACCACGCCCCCGCCCAGCCTGATCTTTTCACTGTGGTTTGCGCGCGTCGGCGGTTTGGTTGTTTTTTTTGTATAAACGCGTGTGCCATCCGCACGTGTGAATGTAATGGACGTGAGCGTCTTATGTGGCGATTTTTAGGTTTAGATAACCTTTATTGTCAGTTTTTTTTACCGAGTGGAGTCGCTAGCAGTTTGAGTTGGTTGCTTCATCGTGGGTTGCTTGCTCAAGATGTTGCTGGAATTGGGGATGTCTGGTTTAACGAAGAGAAGGACGAGGGGGGACATGATAGCAGTGTTCCAATCTCTCAGGGGCTGCCCACAAAGAAGAGGGAGTCAAGCTATTCTGAAAAGCAACTGAAGGCAGGACAAGAAGCAAGGATGGAAACTAATCAAGGAGAGAAGCAATCTAGAACTAAGGAGAAACTTCCTGACAGTTAGAACAATTAACCAGTGGAACAACCTGCCTCCAGAAGCGGTGAATGCTCCAACACTGGAAGTTTTTAAGAAGAGACTGGACAGCCATTTGTCTGAAATGGTATAGGGTTTCCTGCCTGAGCAGGGGGTTGGACTCGATGACCTCCAAGGTCCCTTCC